TCTCTTTGACTGGGCCTCTGCCCTGCTCCTGCAAGTGTTCCAAAATCCTTTTAGTTCTATGGAGATGAGCACCAGGAGGCACCCTACTCTGCTAGGAAGTGATGGCCAGAAAGCATTCAGCTTTAGCTCTGTGAGTCAGCAAACCTAGTTTCTCCCACAAGTGCCCAGAGGCACCTCATTTCATCAGCAAGCCTCTTGCCTGAAGGCACTCAGCTTTTTTGATTTGTAGGTCAGGAAGCCCACCTGCCTGTCTCAGGCTGGTCTCTTGCCTCCACTCTCCACTGCCTCTGCTCCCTCTGCTGCAACTGTTTCTCTTCTGCTGCTTCTTGCTGTCTCTCTCCCCATGTTCTGTGTCACAGCTCTCTGTCCCTGAATCAAGGAGGTCCCCAGCACATTGATCCTGGGACCAAAGGACATGCTTCTTTCCTGGCTCTTCTTTCTTGATGCTCATAAGATCCCTCTTTCCATGTCTGGGCTGGTTCATTTTAATCCTCCGAGATGGTTCATTTTAAGCCTAGAGGGATGGCAAAATTAACCCATTACCATGTTAGGATTCCATACACCTTATTTGTATAGTACCATTCCCACAAAGGTGCGATGCACCTTATTTACATTATTAGCAAGCTCTCCTATCCCCTTGGTTGGCCACAAGCACCTCACATTTGTATAGTTCTATTTGGAGCCCTGGACTACTAACCACAAGCTCAGTAGTTAAAATCTACCAGCTGCTCCGTGGGAGAAAGATGAGGCTTTCTGCTCCCATTAATATTTACAGCCTAGGACACCCTATACATGGTTGCTATGAGTTGGAACCAACTCGATGGCACTCAACCACCATTTGGAGTCCTGGTGTGGCACTGCAGAATAAGCACTGTTAATCTCAAGTTTGGTGGTTAAATCAATTCTTGGAAACCTTATACAGGGTCATTATAGGAATTGACTCTATGGTACTTAACACTAACAATCAACACTCAGTCATTTGGTGGTAGTTACAAAGACTGTGGCTATATTTCATAATTTGTTGCCCCTCATCTGGCAAAGGAGACAGTTGTTCATGGAGGCAATTAGCCACATTCTGTAGCCTCCCCCTGTTCCTTCTTGCTCTAAGCAAATGTTGTTGTTGTCAGGTGCCATCGAGTCGGAACCGACTCATAGCGACCCCATGCACAGCAGAACGAAACAATGTCCGATCAACCTCACTACTGCTGCCACACTTGAGTCCATCTGTCCATACTTATTCAAACTGTATGCTGAGCAAATAATACGAGAAGCTGGGTTCTATGAAGAAAAATGTGGCATCAGGATTGGAGGAAAGCAAATAGAGACTTATTATTGAGTTTTGGATAGTCACTTGCAAGTTTTTAAGTCCCTAGGTAAGTAACTATGCAACAAATAGGAGATAGAACACTAAAAACCTAAATTATCAGGTCATTTAACTGGGATGTCCCATGAAACCATGACCTTAAATTAAAACCTCCAAACCAAGGAACCAAATCCCATGAGATGTTTGATTGGATTTTAGCAGTCTTTGTAGTTCCTCTTGATTTTTGTCATTGCTGTAAATCTACCGATCACACAACTTTGCCAGTTCAACTTTGAAAAGGTGTATAACTTATTGACACAATTACAATAATCAGCCATGGAACCCCATCTTTAATCAATGCAAATTTTTCATTACCATTAAGCCCCATTTTCCTTCTCTCTCCCACCCCTAAACTTTGGTCTCTATACATCTGCCTTTTCTTGTCTTTTTATATAAGCTGTTGTTGTTAAGTGCTGTCGAGTTGGTTCCAACTCATAGTGATCCTGTATAGGGTTTCCAAGGAGCAGCTGACGAGCTTGAACCGCCAACCTTGTGGTTCAAACCATTTCAGTCCAGCGCATGAACGTGCAGCACCACACCAGAACTCCTTTACATAAAATAGGCCATCCAATACTTATCTTTTTGTGATTGGTTTATTCCTCTCCATTCATACTACGGGCTTAATAGCATTTGATTGTATGTATGTACTTTATTTTGTTTATCCATTCATCTGTTGATGGGTATTTAGGATGTTTGCACCTTTTGGTTATTTTGGATCATGTTGCACTGAATGTTGGTGTACAAAATTAAAAACTTTTGAGCACCAAGGAACATCATCAAGAAAGTGAAAAGCATCCACATTCTGTTAAGATGATGGAACAATTTGAGAATGGTGTTGGTTACAGAACATGTGAACATATTTCATGTCACTGAGTTGGTTCTGACTCAGTGAAGATTGTTGAAATGGCAAACGTTTTGTTACCTACATATTTACCACAATAGAAAGTAGTTTTTAAAAAATAGATAATCTCCAGAATGGGAAAAATATTTGGAAATCATTAATAAGTGAAGGGCTTAATATTCAAGAATACTTACAACTCAACAACAAAAAGATGAACAACCCAGTTTAAAAATGCACAGAGGATTTGATTAAACATGTCTCCAAAGCAGATACACAAATGACTACTGAGCATATGAAAATATGCTCAGCATCATGAGTCATTAGGAAAATTTAAAAAACCCCACTTTATACCCTTGCTATTGTTAAGTGCTGTTGAGTCGGTTTCCACTTATAGTGAGAAGCAGCTGGTAGGTTTAAACTGCCAACCTTGTGGCTGATCCTACAGTAGTACTACACCAAGAGTCATACCCACTAGGATGCTTATTATCATAAAAAATGGAACATAGCAAGTGTTGGTGAGGTTGTGGAGGAACTGAAACCCTCAGACATTGCTGATGGGAGTGTAGAGTGGTACACTGAGTGTAGACAACAGTGTGTAGTTCCTCAAAAAGCTAAATGTAGACTTATTATGTTGTTGTTAAGTGCTGAGTCGGTTCTGGCTGAGAGTGACCCTATACAGGGTTTCTGAGGTTTGACCACCAACTTCACCGTTAGCAGTCGAGTACGTATCCTATAACACCACACCAGGACTCCGGAATTGCTATGTTGTTGTTGTGTGCTGTCGAGTCAATTCCAACCCATAATGACCCTGTATAGGGTTTCCAAGGAGCAACTGGTGAACTTGAACTGTTGACCTAGCAGTTCAAACTGACTTTGCAGTCTGGTGCATTAACCCATTGTGCCAGCAGTTCCACTCCTATGTTGTTGGTAGTAAATGCCTTCAAGTTGGTTCCAACTATAGCAACCCTGGATAGGATTTGTGAGACTGTCCTGGTGTGGCACTGGGGGATAAAGTACTGGACTGCAAGGTCAGTTCGAACCACAAGGTCGGTGGTTCAAACTCACCAGCTGCTCTTTGGAAACCCTATACAGGGTTGCTATGAGTTAGAACCGACTCGACAGCACTTAACAAGAACAACAGCAACAAATCTTTACAGGAGCAGAAAACCTGACCTTTCTTCCTGGCAGTGGCTGGTGGGCTTGAACCATGGGCCTTGTGGTTATCCTACAGCACACCAGTGCTCACCTTTTGGTGGTAGTAGTAGATCCTCCTAACACCTGAAAGCAGGAATGCACAGCGATGTTCACTGTCGCAGTCACAAGAGAAAAAAGGCGAACATACCCAAGTGCCCATTAACCGGTGAATGGATAAACAACATGTGATACATGTATACCATGAAGTAGTATTCGGCTATAAAGAGAGATAAAGTGATACATGCTACTACAGGAATGCTACTGTTCAGCATTTTGCTGAGTAAAAGAAGCCGGATACAAAAGGACAAGTACTGTCTAAGCTATACTCAAATCCATTGAAATAAAAGATAACTAGTTATCAGCAGCTGGAGGGATGAAGAAATGGGAAATTAAAAAACAAAAAAAAAGGTAAACACAAAAATAAAAAATGAGTAAGATTTCTGCTGAGGGTAGAAGAGCCAGTTTCTGGTGGAGGAGCCGGATAAGGCACAACTCTGAGAAAGCCAGAGTGTTGGGCATGTGAGGTCAAAGTCAAGGGGGCTCACATTGCTGAAGTGTGAAGCTGTGCCAAGTGCTTCAAGTACCAAGATGACTAAGGCTCAGTCCTTACAAAGACCAATCACAATGCAGGACCCTGTCTCGGGATAAGACCAGAACCCAGAGGGAGAGGCCTGATGAAGAGAACAGAGGCAGTAGCCATTTGTTCTGGAAGGACCAACACGAACTCCAGGGATGGGAGACCAGGTGGCCCAGAAGATACTAGGCAGAGACAACCCAATATGCCAAGAGCAGCAAGAATGTAATCATCCAGGTTCCCAGACACAAGTCTTTGATGGAATTGTATACTACCCGTCTTTTGCTTTGGAAATCTGATTTCTTTTGTGTTCTTCCTGTGTGATTTTGGGCAAGTTAGTTAACCACTCTGACCCTTAGTTTCCTCTTCTGTAAAATGAGCATAGTAATTGGATCCATCTCATAAAGTTGTTATAGGATTAAATAAAATAACCCTTGCAAAGCACAGAAAGGAGTAGGTGTTGGCTAGTATGTATAATTACTAGAGTTTCAGAGAGGAAGCTGCCCTCCCCTGGGACGATGAGGAGAGATGGGGAGGTGGCAACACTACAGCACCCCTTCCTGGGCTTGTCTTGGTCTATTTTCAGTTAAAAAGCTGTTTTCTTCAAGCAGTGAGAAGGGTCAGATGCAGAAAAGTTACCCGACCTTGTGAGGGAGCCAGTGTGGTTGATCAGATACACTCAGGCTCCAGAAATGACCTCTGGGTCCTGTTGCCTGCTCAGGAATGGATTCTGGAAGTGTGGGGGGGTGTAGGGGTCTGCAGGGTTAAAGGTCAGCCTTTGTAAAGGTGGGGCCAGAGCTGGAGCAGGCTCCTCCCACTGTAGGGAGCATTGGCCTTTCCACTTCAGGGCCACATTCTGAGACCACTTCCTCTTTCCTCCCTGTGAAAGCATGAGCAGACCTGCAGAGCCATCAGGAAAGATGGGAGAAGAATCAGGAACGTCTTAGCCCCTCTGTGTCCCCAAGTAGGGGTGGCCGAGCACGCTGGCTACAGGCCTGCTGTGGGGGTGACTGAAGACCACTGGCACAATGGAGGAAGAGAATGAGGAGAAGCTGGCATCTGTGTCTAACCTAGTGACTGTGTTTGAGAACAGCAGGTATGGGGGTGGCTGGGGTCGGGGAGGTCACCATCGGGACTGGTAGCCCCAGCCAGCCCCTCTGCCAACCCCAGGACCTTAGGCAGTACTCCCAATCTCCTCACTAGTGAACAGGGCCTGTTCCTGAGCCACAATCAGCCCTCCCACCCCCTGTCTGGGCCACACCAAGGTCCCTGGTTGTGGGTTATTGGGAGCACTGGAGTGTCCTTAGGACATGACACCAAGAGCTGTGGAGGGGTGAGGGAAAGTTCAGACATGTGTTTGGATACAGTGTGAGAGGATCACAGGCCGTGCGGAGCTGCCCCTCCAGCCTATTGCAGAACCAATAGGTAATATTTATCCATCATTTACTCCTGTAAGTAGGATAACCATGTAATTAAGCATTCAAACCAGGGCAGATCAGAAACTGAAAGTTATTGGTGTTGTGAAGTGCCATCAAGTCAGTTCCGACCTACAGCGACCCTGTATAGGGTTTCCAAGGAGCAGCTGGTGAGCTTGAACCGCCAACCTTGCAGTTCAAATGGCTTTGAAGTCTGACGCATTAACTCACAGCGCCACACCAGGAAGGTGGATGCCATTAGTGTTTACCCACCCCCACCTCCGGGGCAACAGGTAAAGCTGGGACTGTATTGGGCAACCCTGAATGTATAGCCGGTTACGCTGCCTATGGGCACTGACCTAAGGACTCTTCAATACTCATTTCATCTAATCAGTCTGACAGATTAAATGGGGTTGGTTCTATTACTACTACTCCTATCTAAAAAATGAGGAAATGGAAGCACAGAGCAGCGAGGATGCTAGATGCTTCTTGTCTATAGGGAAAGTGCTGGACCAGATGGTGGAGGCCATTGGTAGCTCTGGTAAGGTGTGTGCATGTGCAAGAAAGAGCACTCACGAGAGATGAATCCACACAGCAGGCATTTCCTAAGTACGGGACTGTGTTTGGGACTGTTATAGGTAGGGTTCTCTGGGAATAGACATAGAGAAGGAGATTTGCTTAAGGAGCTTTATCAGGGAAAGCGTTTGGAAACAACACTTGTCGGGGTGAGAGAAGCAAGACTGGGTGAGGGGAGAGAGTGAACTGAGACTTCCGCCTGCCCCAGGATGTTCTGGAGCTGGGTTGGCTCTGCAGGGCTGTTATAACTGAGGCAAAGGAATGGGGTCTTTTCACCTCCACACTGACTAGTCATTGGATGTGGGATGCCCTTGAGGAGGGGGCATGACCTTAGACAAAGCAGCTTCCTTCCATGAAGGGTGATGCCTCAAGAGGGACTTGGGTGAGAACCCTCCACCTCTGCCAACAGTGGGGGTGGGGGTTGGAGAATTGTGCCTCAGTCCAGAAGGGGGAGTGGGCAGTAGAGAACAGGGACTGTGGAGGATTCAGGAGCCCAAAGCACTGAAGGATCCTTGTCTTTAAATGCTAAACCCAAGCCCATTTCCAGTGAATCTGATGCCTACTCATGGCTCATAACAACCTATAGGACAGAGTAGAACTGCCCATAAGGTTTCCAGGCTGTAATCTTTGTGGAGAGTCTTGGTGTGGTGCTGTGGGTTAATGCACAGGACTGCAAAGTCGGTTTGAGCCACAAGGTCGGTGGTTCAAGTTCACCAGCCACTCCTCAGAAACCTATACGGGGTCGCTATGAGTCAGAACTGACTTGATGACACTTAACAACAAGTCTTTATGGAAGTAAACTGCTTCATTTTTCTCCTGCTTGAATGCTAAGCTTGTGCAGTAACATCTATGATGCAAGGTCATGTATGTAGACAACCTAGGAGGGGCCTGGATCAGAGCAGGCTTCAAGCTGGAGTGACTTAGAGATGGGCCTCAAAGGGTGTTCAACATCCTGAGTTGGGTGGTCTTATCCTGCTCTCCCAAAGTCCTCTGCCAACCACATTCAGACATGAGTGTTCACACAGTGTTCATGGTGCCACCTTCCTAGCCCATCACCCCTTTGGGCATGGGTAGGTGTGGTCCTGTGCCAACAGCACATCAGGCATGGACTAGGTGTGATTCCATGGAGACTCTTTGGATGCTTGTTCTGTCAAGGCATCACCCAGGCACAGAGGAGGGAGCCCTGGACCAGAGTGGGATCCAAGCAGCTTTGTCTGGGAGGGTGGAACCAACCCTTACTTCATGAGAGGTCCATGCCCACTGCCCAGGCCTGGACTTTCTTGTTAGGTTCCCAGTGCCTTACTTGATCTGAAACTGAAGAGTGAAGAGGAAACAGAAGCTGGCCTGAGGCATCTGGGGAGAAATGCAGAAGCTGAAACCAAATGTAGAACAGAAAGCTGCAGACTGGTAGCCTGTGGCACCAGAGAGGGGTGGGAGACCCCAGAAGTAGCATTCACAGACTGGGTCTAATCCTCTCTCTGTCACCTACTTGCTGTGTGACTTGGGACAAGTCACTTTGACTCTCTGGACTGGTTTCTGTTTGACTCCAACAGGGAGAAGCAGTTTAGGGGAAAGATTCAGGAACTAACTAACTAACCTGCCTGGTCTGAATCCCATCTCTGACACCTCCTAGCTGTGTAGATGGAGGACAAGTTACTTACCTTCTCTTACCTCAGACACTTTGCTGCAAAATGGGGAGGTACTGAGAACCTTTCTCATAGTTTTGCAGTTTTTGTGTCTTTGCAGTTCTCCATTTACCAACCTATCTTACTCACAGGACTGCCTAGCCTTTGTTGTCACTGCAAGTCTTTCCACACCAAAGAGAATGGAGTTTTAGCCCAAGCCCTTGATAACAGTTACTGAGGGAGTTTTCTGTTATCTAAGAAATTTAATTGGCTTACAGACTCAGGCACAAAGCTGCCTTATGAAGACCTATTCCTGGGAACAGAGAAACTTCCCGGGCTGGAGGTGTGGAAGGCACTGCTCTCATCTCAGACCCTTGAAATTTTCTGCCCTCACTTTCGATTTTTCTATGGTTCCTACCTTCCCTTGCTTCTACCAGTGACGAAGGCTTCTGGGGTCTTTCTTCTGCAGAAAGTGAAAGGAGAGGTGAGACCTCCCTTGCTAATAAGTCCAGTGGTGAGGGTGAACCCCTCTGTTGAAGAATAGGGGTTCCTGTATAGTGCTTCATTTTAAACAGGGAAGTATATAGTTCCCCAAAGACTAAAACCCAATCTACACTGACTCATTTTGAAGGCTGGAGTTCCCTCCAAGAAAGTTGTTGTAGAGAAGTGGAAGTCCTACTCAGCACACTCCTTTGGGTGTGGGGCATTCTGGGGCCACTGCACACAGTGGTTTGCATTTATCTCCCTGCCATGCACCCCCCCCCCATTCCCCAGGAGGTCTTATTACTCTCTCTGCCTATTCTACAAACAAGGGGACCCTCAGGTTGACTCTGTTCTCCTCAGGACCCCAGAAGCAGTAGTACCCAGAGCTCACAGACTGGAGAAGGACGAATGTCACCGCCCTGGGTGTAGACCTCCACAGTCCTCAGGGCCATGGGAAAGGCCCAGCCTGGGGGAAACCCTGGCTTCTGAGTCCAGAACAGTCACCAGGAGGTATCTGAACTCCTTGAAGAACAAGCTGTCCAGCGGGGCCTGGAGGAAGTCCTGTCAGCCTGGGACTGACCCTGGATCAGGGACGCAGGTACCTGGTGGCTGGAACTGAGGTGGAAGGTGGAGGGGGGGAGGGAAGGGGAGGAAGGGGACCACTCCACTGATCTCCTCCTCACACATTTTCCCAAACCCCTAGTTAGATCCAACAGTTTTCCCAATGGGGGTCTTGTGAAATCAGAGGTCATCCAAAAGCTAGATCATTCCATTTTCTATTAACAGCCTCTGACCAACATTCTACCAATATTATTTCACATCTCCCTCACTATAGAATTTTCCAGAAAGGAAATTGAAACTCAGTTAGCTTAAGGAACTTGTCCATGGCCAAACATCTTGGAATCGTTCAATAGTCTCTATCTTGTGAACCTGGTACCCTTCCCAGGTGGTGTCTCACCTTACCCATTGAAAGGGACAAGAATCCCAAATTAGAAATAGAGATCTATGTGCTAATTCCCACCCCTGAAAGACTTGTCTGATCCTGGGCTGATCACCTTCTTTCTGTGAGTTTCAGTTTGTTCATCTGAAAAGTTCAAAGATTAAAAAACAAGCTAGTTGCTGTCAATTCCAACTCAAGGCAACCTCTTGAGTGAAAAGTAGACCTAAATTCCATAGGGTTTTCAAAGCTATGTACCCTGGAACCAGCCTGAATGAGTTCCCATCCAGCTTGACTATTTACCAACTGTATGACCTTGGGCAAGTCGCCTTAACTGCTGTGCCTCAGTTTCCCCATTTAAAAAATAGCCTGAACATGGTTCTGCATTCTGGTTATTAATTGCCATATAACTAATTACCCCAAAATACAGTGACCTAATACAACAATTTATTATTTCTCATAATTTTGTGGGTTGACTGGGATGTAGCTGGATGGTTGTTCTGTTGGTCTTGCTTGGGATCTCTCATGTGGCTACAGTTAAATGGTGGTCAGGGCTGGAATGGCCACGATAACTCTACTCATAGTCTGTGTCTCAGCCAGGATGCTGGACCAACTCTTCTACTTTCTCTCCATGCTCTCTCATGATCTCCTCTCTCCCTGTCATCTCTCCATGAGGTCTCTTCATCATGGTAGTCAGATCTCTTGATATGATGGTTCATAGCTCCCAAGACTGCACAGATGGAAGCCTCCAGGTCTCTTAAGTCCAGAATTGGCACAGCCTCATGTTTGCCACATTCTATCAGTAAAAGTGGTCCCGGTGCTTCGTGAGTCAGCTTTGGAGAATGGTGCTCATGGATCCCATCAGAAGAGACCAAAACTATCCCTACTCTTAACCTTCTTGTCCTTGAATCTCCATATAGGAGCCTGAGAAGAGGATTGTCCAGGAGTTGCTGGAGACGGAGCAGGCCTACGTGGCGCGCCTCCACCTGCTGGACCAGGCCAGTGGCTAGGACATCTCCCACCAGGGCCCAGAGCAGTGGTCTCCTCACCTCCCCACTGCTGTCCCTGTGACTCACCTCATCCCACCCCTACTCTCCCTCTGACCTACCTCACCCCTGCTCTCTTGTGACCCACCTCACCTCACACCTGCGTGCATGTGACCCATCTCACCCCACCCCTGCTCTCATGTGACCCACCTCACCCCACCCTACTTGCATGTGACCCACCTCACCGTACCCCTGCTTTCCCTCTGACCCACCTCACCTCACCCCTGCTCTTCTCTGACCCACCTCACCTCACCACTGCTTTCCCTTTGACCCACCTCACCCCACCCCTGCTGTCCCTCTGACCCACCCCACCTCACCCCTGCTCTCCATGTGACCCACCTTGCCTCTCCCCTGCTCTCCCTCTGACCCACCTTACTCCACCCCTGCTCTCCGTTTTGCCCTCCTCACCACAGCTGAATTAGGATTCCTGGGTTTGACTTCAGCAAGTCTTTAGTCCTTTAAACCCTTTGACTGAACTTGGGGTTGAAATTATGATTTAGCTCATTGGTGCCAGTCCCCTTTCCACCCTTGGTGCCTAGGCTGACCCCACATGGAGCCGAAGGCATACCAGCCAATCCCTCAGACTCACTGGTCATTACAATGTCCACAGCCCCACCATCAGCACAGGACTCTCTAGCCTGGTAGAATCTAAGATTTTGGCCCATTTCTGATGCTCTTCAGCTATCAATTTTGGCCAAGACCCTGTGTCCCTAAGACTTAGTTTGCCTATCTGTAAAGTGGCCAGAACACAACTCTCCCTGCCTATCACTTCCAGGGTTGTTGTGAGGATGTTGGGAGATTACAGAGGTGTAGTATTCAGTAAACTGGAAAGGGCCCAAGTGCCCCTGGGCCAGTGGGTGGGTCTCCTGGCCTGCAGGCAAAGTGACTGGGCCCTGGCTGCAGGTGTTCTTCCAGGAGCTGCTGAAGGAGGCTCAGAGCAGCAAGGCCTTCCCCGAGGATGTGGTCAGGCTCATCTTCTCCAACATCTCCTCCATCTACCAGTTCCATTCCCAGTTCTTCTTCCCGGAGCTGCAGCAGCGGCTAGAAGACTGGTGAGGTCTGCAGGGAGCCCTGAAGCCTCACCCTGGGTCTGTCCTGTTAGGACCCTGTCCTGCTGTGTGACCATGGCCATCTCCTCCTCAAGGCCTGGGCCTGGCTGCAGAGTGAGGGGCTTGAATGGATGAGTCCTGGAGGCCTGGGTTGTGTCCTAGGGAAGGGACTGGACCAGGTGCTCTCTAGGCCTGGTAACTCAGGAGGCAGTGGAAATAGCCAATGTTAGCTGAGGGCCTCCTACCAGCCTGGCGGTGAGCTGTCCACACATTAATGCACTAAATCCATGAATGCACAAGAGCCTGCTGTGCGAAGATTGTAGTTATAAAAGAAACCTTCATTTTCAGATCTGACCATTAAAGTATATAGAAATAAAATTTCTTGCTTTAAATATTTTACCAAAGATGCTTGACCTGGACTGTCCTTTTTAAGTTCTTCGGTAAAGGTAAAGAACTATGGCAAAATATTGTTATTATTGTGTGCCGTGGGGTCGGTTCTAACTCCTAGCGACTCTGGATCAGGTTTCTGAGAATGGCTGGTGGGTTTGAACTACTGACCTTGCAGTTAACAGTCCAGGGGCAAAATACTGTTGTTTTGTTAAGTGCCATCAAGTCAGTTCCAACTCATAGAGACTTTGGATCAGGTATCTGAGAGCAGATGGTGGGTTTGAACTCTGACCTTGGTGGTTAGCAGTGCAGTGGCAAATTATTGCTGTTGTTGTTAAATGCCGTCAAGTAGGTTCCAACCCATTGTGACCTTGTACAGGTTTTCCTAGGAGAGGCTGATGAGCTTGAACCACAGTCATTGTGGTTCAAATCGACTTTGCAGTACAGCGCGTTAACCCACAGCACCACAGCATTTGTTAAATCCAGGTGTTGGCTCCATGGGGCCTCATTATTATATCCTCTTCACTTAAGGATGGCTTGAACATTTTCACCATAAAAAGCATTTTTTTTAAAAAAAAGAACAACTCTGAGATGGGGCTATCATTATTCTTAATTTTCAGATGGGACAACTAAGTCCCAGAGAGAGTAGTTGACTTGCTCCAGAATCCATCGCTGAAACATTAGGTCTGGAATTGAACACAGGGCAGCTCCTTACTGCTCTGCTGGAACTGCCCCTGGGTTGTGTGACCTTCAGGCCCTACCACAAGATGAATGCTGGATAAGTTTTTACCCCTATGAGCCTCAGTTTCCTCATCTCTCAGATGAGCTAATGACTGTCTCCACCTTCAGGGCTGTTGTGAAAAATTCAATGAGCTGAGCCAGGCAACACCATGTGTCTTGGTCAGCACTGAGTGTCTGGTCCTCATTATTACCGTGTAATCTGATAGCAGGTAGTTATTGGACAAATCCTGTGGGCCCAGCACTGCTGGGTTTGGTGGGGAGACCAGTCCATGGAAGAGCATGTGTTCTCAGAGGGCTCAGCCACACACACACACACACACACACGTAGGGAGACCACATGACCCTCCTCCTGTGCCTGCACCTGGAAATGCAGTGGGTCAGGGGTCAGGGGTCAGGGGAGGAAGTCCCAGGCTGAGGACAAAGCCCAGTGTCCTTCCTGCAGGACGGCCACTCCCCGCATTGGTGATGTGATCCAGAAGCTGGCCCCCTTCCTGAAGATGTACAGTGAGTATGTCAAGAACTTTGATAGAGCTGCTGAGCTGCTGGCCACCTGGACTGACAAGTCCCCACCATTCCAGGAGGTGATCACCCGCATTCAGGTGAGGCTAGGTGAGGAGCCCAGGGTACTGCCACCCCCAATGTGCAGTGACTCCACTTCCCCAAGTGATCCTGGGTCATTCACACATCAGGACCTGGCAGTCCTCTCCTGAGCTCAAGGGCAGGATGACTCTCCCTCCCCCATTCTTACGCCCCCATTCCCATCCTCGTTCATCCCCAAGGACAGCGAGGCCTCGGGCAGCCTGACCCTGCAGCACCATATGCTGGAGCCTGTGCAGAGACTCCCGCGCTATGAACTCTTGCTCAAGGAGTACGTCCAGAAGCTACCTGCCCAGGCTCCAGACCGGAACGATGCCCAGAGTGAGAACACCTCAGGGGCACCCAGCGAACTGGGGAGTCCCAAGGTCCTCCAATAGATTTATTGTTGCTATGAGTCAGTTCTGACTCATAGCAACCCTGTATATAGGATTACCAAGGAGTGGCTGGTGGGTTTGAACTGCTAACCTTGCAGCTCAAACTAACCTTGCAGTCCAGTGCATTATCTTACAGCACCACTATGACCACCAGTTATTAACATCTATCTTAGGCACTTCACAGACATTATCTGTGTCCTTACCTGGACAGTAAGGCCCAAAGAGGTTAGGTGACTTGCCTAAGGTCACACAACCAAAAAGGAGCAGGGCGGGATTTGAACCCATGACTGAGGCAGCAGCCCATGTTCTCTCTACTACACACTCTGGGTCCCACTAGGTATGGGAAGCCGTGAGACTCACAGAAGCTGGTGCCGACTCACTCACTACTCACTGCCCTTGGGTGGCTTCTAGTTTCTCCACGCTGGGTGGGAAATGGCCCCATTGTGCAGACACCATGTGCTGCTCCTGAGTGTGGATGTGGCAGACCCTGAAGCTACTATGCTAAGCCTCAGGGACCTCCTGCCTCAGCCACCAGCCCCAGAGGTTTGGGGGCTGACTCTGGCCTTGCCCCCTTCAGAAGCCCTCGACATGATCTTCTCAGCCGCTCAACACTCAAATGCAGCCATCACCGAGATGGTGAGCAGCCCAGCCCAGGGGTGGGAGCAGCGGACCTCCCTGGTCACTGTATCCACTTGCTCCTGACCCCACTCCATGACGCTTGTCCCCTCTGCTGCCCTCCCCCTCACACCTTCTGTCCCCATCCCCACAAGTCACACCTTCTAGAGCCTCTGTCCCACCTCCAGGAGCGGCTGCAGGATCTGTGGGAGGTGTACCAGCGTCTGGGCCTCGAGGACGACATAGTGGACCCCTCCAACACCCTGCTCCGCGAGGGCCCTGTCCTCAAGATTTCCTTCCGCCGCAGTGACCCCATGGAGCGCTACCTGTTCTTGGTAGGGGTGCTGGGGGTCTCTATCCCATACTGGTGTGAGAATCACATGGGCCACTCTGTCCTAGGTTCTGCCTGCCTGGCCTCAACCTGGCACAGCAGGAAGAGCAAGGAAAGGGCAAGCTTCTCTGTCCTTCTTTGCCTTTGGTACCCAAATGGCTCTGGACAAATCACGTGGCTCTCCAACTTGAAGGCTTCCCAGGCAGTAGGAAGTAGCAGAGACAGTGTTTGAACTCAATTGACTTGGCTCCAAAGCCAATGACATTGATAAGTGCTATAGAAACATTATTGGACTCCTGCTGTGGTGCTGTGGGATCAGCACTGGACTTCTAACCACAAGGTGGGCGGTTCAAACCCACCAGCTGCTCCTCAGAAACCCTATAGAAGGTTACTATGAGTTGGAACTGACTGCATGGCACTTAGCAACAACAACATAGAGCAAGCACAACCAGGGGAATTAAGTTAGCGACAGAAAGCACGACCTTGGTTGGCACAGAAGAAGTCAGGGAGGGGCCTAGAGATTTGGACACATGAAGCTGCCTGGAAGCTTGGGAGATGGGGCCACAGCCTCTTAAAACCCCTGCTGTTCCAGCTCCAATGAGAAAGGCCTCATAGAGTTTCAAGGTCTCCTGTAGTCCTTGATGTCCACAGGTAGGGTGACCCTTCAGTGACCTAATTGGGCTAGACAGCCCCTTCCTTGCCATGTCATGCCTGGCCCAGAGTGTGGGGAGGCAGGAGGGGGATCCCATGTGCACAGTACACCTTGAAGAACCCCTCCCAATTGTCCTTCACAGCCCTTCCCTCCTGCCTCTGCCCACACAGCACTATTCACCCACGTCCTCACATCTATTTCTCCTATAGTTCAACAACATGCTGCTATACTGTGTGCCCAGGGTCATCCAAGTGGGCTCCCACTTCCACGTGAGGACCCGCATCGACGTGGCTGGCATGAAGGTGAGAGGTCCCTTGTCCTGTTTTGAATTTTCTACCGAGCTCTCTACCAAAGACCCCTGGTGATATAGTGAATAAGCATTGGGCTGCTAACCACAAGGTCTGTGATTTGAACCTACAGCAGCTGTCCGCACATGAAAGATGTGGCCGTAAAATTACAGCCGTAGAAATCCTATAGGGGGCTGGGGGAGGGAAGAAATCCTATAGGAAAGTTCTACTATATCCTATAGGGTCACTTATGAGTCAGAATTAACTTAACAATGGTTTTTAACAATGAGTTTTTTTGGTGTGTTTTATAGGAGAGAAACTAGTGAGATCTGTGTGTGTGTGTGTGTGTGTTATTAAATGCCGTTGAGTCATTTCCAACTCATAGCAACCCTGTATAGAGTTTCCAAGGAGTAGCTGGTGAGTTTGAGTCACCGACCTTGCTGTTCAAACTGACCTTGTGGTCCAGTGCTTATCCTCCAGCTCCACACCAGGACTCCATATGTATGTATATGTGTACATCCATGTTGTTGTTAAGTGCTGTTGAATCAGTTCTGACTCATAGTGACCCTGAGTAGGGTTTCCAAGAAATAGTTGTTTGAACTGCCAGCCTTGCAGTTAGCAGTCCAGTGCTTATCCTGTGGTGGTGGTGGTTATGTGCCA